TTTAACCAAGTAGCAGGTGAAGATTTTTTTGACACTTTCAGTCCAGTTGTCAAGCCAACCACAGTTCGTATGTTATTTTCCTTGGCTATCACAAACAAATGGGTCCTCCGTCAGCTAGATGTGCATAATGCCTTCCTAAATGGCCATCTAGCTGAAACTGTGTATATGAAGCAACCACTAGGTTACGAAGATCCCACTCATCCGGAACATGTCTGCCACTTACAGCGGTCTCTCTACGGTTTGAAGCAAGCTCCCCGTGCATGGTTCAAGCGGCTTCATGACTTCATGTTATCTACAGGGTTTTCTTCGTAAAAACAGATGTCTCCCTCTTCTACCTCAGTTCAGAGGGGTCGCAGGTTTTCCTCCTTGTCTATGTGGATGACATCATTATGATGAGCAACAACACCTCTCTACTTGATACTCTACTTGGTCGTCTTGCAACTTTATTTAAAATACGGGATCTAGGCAAACTTGGCTTCTTCTTAGGGATTGAAACCGTTGACACTACTAGTGGAATGATTCTGTCCCAACGGCGCTACATGACTGATCTGCTGACTAGGGCTGGGTTGGTGGACTGTAAACCCTTGACTACTCCTGCTTCAGTTACTCAATCGGCCACTCCGTCTACGGAACTGTTTGATAATCCGACGCAGTATCGACGCATCGTTGGGGCTCTTCAGTATCTCACTATCACACGGCCTGATTTGTCTTTTTTCAGTTAATCGTCTGTGTCAATTTATGCACGCCCCTACTACTGATCATTGGGCAATGGTTAAACGAGTTCTCCGGTATATTAAGGGGACTCTCCACTATGGCCTGCACCTGAGTGCATCACCCACTACATCCATTCATGCCTATTCTGACTCCGACTGGGCTGGTTGCCCTATTGACAGGAAAAACACGAGTGGATATGCTGTTTTTCTTGGGTATAATCTCATCGCCTGGCTGTCCCGAAAACAGCGTACTATGGCCCGCTCTTCGACAGAAGCCGAGTATAAAGCCCTCGCCGACGTTGCTGCAAAGGTTACTTGGGTTGTTTCGTTGTTACGTGAGTTGGGGCTGCACACTGGTCAACCGTCTACTCTGTGGTGTGATAACTTGGGAGCTACGTACTTGTGCGCTAATCCAGTATTCCACGCCAGAACAAAGCATGTGGAGATTGACTATCACTTCGTACGAGACAAGGTTGCAACGGGGGACTTCAAGGTAAACTTTATATCAACCAAGGACCAGCTCGCTGACATCTTCACCAAGCCGCTCCCAGGTCCAAGGTTCACTGCACTACGAGACAAGCTACATGTTGTTTCTCACCAACCTTCCGCTTGAGGGGGTGTCTGAGTGTTATTAATAATTATTGTTATTATTATTATATAACCTATGGTAGTTAGTGTGTGGTGTTAGAATAAGTCTGATGTAATATCCTAGTAGATAGGAGAGTTTAGAGGTAGTCTTTGATATACTCTTGTGTAATCCTATCTGCCTGTAACTGAATACAATTTGAATTCTCATCATTGCAATCGCATTTTTTTTTAAATTTTGGTAATCCTGGATGTTGATTTAAGCGAGATGAATGGCCCAGATTAAATCGCACAACCGCACATGAGCACTCTAACCGCACCAGAATTGTCCAAATGTTCGAAAAAATATGCGATTTGAAAAAACAAATTGTCCAAAACGGATAACCGAGTCAAAAGTTATGCCTTCCCGAACTTTTAACACTTTAAAACTAAAAAAAATACAAATAAAAAATAAAAATAAAAAACGGCCGAACCGATCAGCCGCGGAAGAGGCCGATTCCGGCCTTCCTCGCGGCCGCCTAGCGCCTAGGCGCAATTTTTGCAACCATGGTTGTCGCTCATCGGGGAATCTGTGCGGCCCATCAGGGGGCCAATACTTTGGCCAGAAAAATTATCATTCAGGACTTTTACTGGCCGACCATGGTAAAAGATTGCATTGAAGAAGTGCTCAGATGTGTAGTGTGCCAATCGTTCGCTAAAAAGAGCACCCGACCGACAACTTTCTATACGCCGTTCACCACTACGATCCCCTTCGCCAAGTGGGGCATCGATCTATTGGGGCCACTCCCTCAAGCGCCCGGACGAGTGCGCTTCTATATAGCGGTCGTGGATTACTTCAACCAAGTGGGCAGAAGCGGAGCCTTTGGCGACCATCACCGAGTACCAGTACTGCCGGTTTGTCTGGAAGAACATCATATGCAGATTCGGACTGCCCGAGCAATTAGTGACCGACAACGGACGAATTTGATAATCGAGCCTTCGCGGCCTTCTGCGTGCAGCCACGATGATCGGTGTGTCCCTGATCCCGAGCCTCAAAAGACTGGGACGGGCGACCAGGTCACGCGGGCGGTGTGTCCCCAGCCGCGCAACACCCCAGGACCCGGACGGACAACCGGGCTGGCCAGGAGGGATGCTCTTACTCGAAGGCAGAAACCCAGGAAGGCGTCCTCATGCGGCCGGGACAGCTCCCGACTGGGTACACGCCCCAAAATGCGTATCAGCAGATTCTCCGGAAGCAATCTTCGCTCAGATTAAGTAGTTTCCATAATTTGCTTAGATAGGAAAGGCAGGGAATTGACGGTTGCATCAGCCCATACGTCAGCCCTACTTACCCCTGACCTTGGCTAGATGTCAGCCCTACTTACCATGTATAGATTCGATATTCGTGTATAAATATCCCCATGAGATCTCCATGGCGGGGGTCCGAAACCCTCTCTCTTCGGGAGCGACATATTTTGAAGGGCAACACCCTAAAGAAATAACAGCGGTTATTCTCTAAAATTATCTTTATTTTCTTACTTTCTTTACACTCACAAATATAGTTATCCGGTAGTGTTGGCCTGCCGGACAGCCATCAACGCTATGAAAACCAACAACGGTCTACAGAGCTTTCTTCGGCTATGACAAGCGATTCTTGAGCGGAGAAGCGGTGGGGGCCTGAGCAATATAAATACGGGCGGTGTGCAGAGGGAGGATCATCAATTAACTCCGAACCAATTCCGACGGCGGCAGCTCTGATTCCGACGGTGGTGTTAGTTTCTAGGCGAGCAGTTTTTTTAGTCATCTACAACATCAATCATCAATTCACTCCGGACCAATTAGTCATCTACAACAGCAATCATCAATTCACTCCGGAACAATTCCGACGGCGGCAGCTCTGATTCCGACGGTGGCAGCTCTGATTCCGACGGTGGTGTTAGTTTCTAGGCGAGCAGTTGTTTTAGTCATCTACAACAGCAAATCATCTTTGTGGTTTTAGTCATCTACAACAGCAAATTATCTTTGTGGTTTTTGGTTCCTTTTCCTTTGAATATTGGTTTCTTCCTTTTTCCATGCTTATTGAGTTAATCTGATGCCATTAAAGTAATTTTCTTTGAATATTGGTTTCTTCCTTTTTCCATGCTTGTTGTTTTAGTCATCTACAACAGCAAATCATCTTTGTGGTTTCTGGTTCCTTTTCCTTTGAATATTGGTTTCTTCCTTTTTCCATGCTTATTGAGTTAATCTGATGCCATTAAAGTAATTTTCTTTGAATATTGGTTTCTTCCTTTTTCCATGCTTATTGAGTTAATTTGATGCCATTAAAGTAAATTCGTACGTCATTAATCAAGTTTTTTGAATACTACTTACTCTATTACATTGTAGTATCTGTTCAAATATACTTTCTCAACTTAATAAAGCCCAAAGAGTCAACAACGCCTCCACTGAGGCTCAATCTCATGACCTCCTACATGGAAGAGGTCACTACATACCATCTAAACACAAGGTGCTTGACAAATATTTAAAATGTTTAGTTACTCCTTTCTTTAATTATGTTTAGCATGAATATTTTATCCTTTCTTAAATGTTTAGTTAATCATTTCTTTAATTATGTTAATTCCAGCCGCACTTTGATCAGTATGTTTAGCATTAATATTTTATATTAATTTATTTAATTAGTCCATCAATTATGTTTAATCCTATAATTATATATTGCAATTAGTTGTTATTTTCCTGAATTTTGATCCAATTATTTTGCATTTAAGTTGATCTTTAATATTGTTATTTTGTTTCGTGTATCTTTTCTGCCTTGTTTTTCATTGCGTTTCCATTTAGTTTAATCCATTTTGATTGACAACTGGTTTTTAAATCCTTTAAATTATCAAATTTATTATTTTTTGTTATTAAATTGCATTGTATCATTTTCCTTTGGGTTTGACCCTTGCTTTGCACACTATCACTACAATTGATTCGTGCACTTGTGATGACATAATTAAAATTGTCCATCACACACTGCTGGAAATCATCAGATTTCCGACCACTTTTCCGACCACCACGAAATATGGTTGCAAAATCCGATTTTTTCTCATTTTTCCGATAACCTCAAAAGATGGTCGGAAAGTGGTCGGAAGATCTGACCACCTAGGTATGGTGGTCGGAAGTTTCCGACCACCAGCATTAGCGGTCGGAAAATGTCGGCAGCTTGCATTTAATTTGCTTTTCTTTTCCGACCACCTTTGTAGGTGGTCGGAAATAGCTTTATATATATACCTCTTCTGCGTGTTTTCAGACCATTTTCTCTAGTTTTTTATATCTTTCTGCTCATTTTTTCCTTGTTGCAGGTATTCTTTCAGAAAATCTTCTATAATAGTGCTAAAATCAAGTTCTACTACATCATATCAAGCTAAACTAAGGTATGTGTGTATATTCTTAGATCTACCATTTAATAAGTCATTTTTTTAGATCTAGGTTTGATTTTTGGGAATACTTATTTAGATTATTTATTTTATGATTGAATAATGTATAGTGTGCATATATGTATATGTGTTTGTATGTATGTATGTATGCTTATAATTATTTGTATATTTATATTTTTTTAATAGCATTTTATATGTGTGTATATTTATTAGTGTGCTTGTATATAATTATTTAAAATATTCGTATTATTTTTAATATATTTATATATGTGTTTGTATTGTATATATGTTTTTGCAGTAGTTTTACATGGCTAATATACCTGAACATCGAAAATGGATGTATAACCGATTGTTACCCGGAAAAAGGGGGTACACTGATGAGTTCTTAATGGGTGTTGAGGAATTTGTAAATTATGCAAGCACGCTTCTTGTATATGAGGCTTCAATGAAGATTAGGTGCCCATGTAGTAAGTGTAAGAATAGAGTACACTTGTCTGTAGATGATGTTCGTGTTCATTTGTATAAGAAGGGTTTTGAACCGAATTATTGGGTTTGGACGTGTCACAATGAGTTTCCCCCCTCAATACAACCGCATATGAATGAGGGCCCTAGTGAAAATAATCGGTATGAACAAATGGTTTTTGATGTATCTGGTCCATCATTTTTTCCACTAAATGCCGAGAATGACCAAGATGAAGAGCCACATAGTACTGCAAAAAACTTCTATGATTTGTTAAATGCTGCGAAACATCCTTTATCAATGAATGTTAATGAAGAAACAGAGCTAGCATATACATTGAGGATGATGAATATCAAGACAACTTTTAATATACCACAGCTAGCAATGGATCAGATATTTGAGTACATTAACCATTTGATGGGTCCTGATAATCGAGTACCTACCAGGTATTATGATGCAAAAAAATTACTTACAAAGCTTGGTCTTGGACATGAGAAGATTGGTTGTTGTGTAAACAATTGTATGTTGTACTATAAGTCTGAAATAAATGACAAGCACTGTAAGTTTTGTGGTGAGCCAAGATTTAAACCTTGCCCATCTGGATCTACTCGTGCAAAAGAGGTGCCTCGCAAAAGAATGCATTACCTTCCTCTCATTCCTCGATTGCAACGTTTGTATGCATCACATAGCTCTGCTTCACACATGCGATGGCATTATGAAAATCGCCGCGAACCCGGTATTATGTGTCATCCCTCTGATGGTGAAGCATGGAAGCACTTTGATAGAAGGTTCCCTGATTTCTCAGCAGATCCTCGAAATGTAAGACTAGGCTTATGTTTTGATGGATTTTCTCCTTTTGGTTTCTATGCAAAGCCGTACTCTTGTTGGCCTGCTATGGTTGTTCCATATAATCTCCCACCTTCAATGTGTATGACTACACCATACACATTCTTAACCTGTATTATTCCTGGACCGAAGAACCCAAAGGCCAATATTGATGTCTATCTGCAGCCTTTAATTGATGAACTTCAATTGTTATGGGAAATAGGTGTCTTAACTTATGATGCATCACTTAAACAAAATTTTATGATGCGCGCTGCGCTAATGTGGACCATCAATGATTTTCCTGCATATGGTATGTTATCTGGATGGCAGACAGCCGGGAAACTAGCATGTCCTTATTTTCTTCATTATTCTAAATCATTTTATTTGAAGAATGGTCATAAAACTTGTTGGTTTGATTGTCACCGTCAATTCCTTCCAATGAATCACTCCTGGAGGAAGAATCGAGATACCTTCGTCAAACAACGAGCTGAGAAATCAAGACCTCAACCAATTTGGACAGGAGATGAGTTGTTTCATAGTTTAGAAAATATCCCAAAGATTATTGATGGTCCAATTGGTCGCATTGAGGGGTTTGGACATGCACACAATTGGAAAAAAAGAGCATATTTTGGGATTTGCCTTATTGGAAGGATAATTTGCTACGTCATAATCTTGATGTGATGCATATAGAAAAAAATGTGTTTGATAACATCTTCCACACGGTTATGGATGTCAAAGGCACAACTAAAAATAAAGACACGCCTAGTGCGCGTCTCGATATGAAGGACGTGTGTAATAGGCCAGAGCTTGAGTTGGTGGAAAATAATGGACGTTATCTTATGCCCAAGGCAAGCTACAGTTTGAATCGTACTAATCAATTAGCTGTCTATGAGTGGTTACGAACTTTGAAGTTACCTGATGGGTTTTCTTCTAATTTGGCTACATGTGTTGATTCCACATCTTCTAAATTAATAGGGATGAAAAGTCATGATTGTCATATTTTTATGCAGTTTCTTGTGCCTGTAGCCTTCATGTTTTTACCAAGCTGTCACTGGAAGCCTTTGACTGAGTTAAGTGCGTTTTTCAGAAATCTGTGTTCTACATCCCTATGTGTAGACAAAATACAGGAAATGGAAAACTCGATTGTTTTAACATTGTGTAAGTTAGAACGGTTTTTCCCTCCAGCACTGTTTGACTGCATGGAACACTTGCCTGTCCATCTTCCCTATGAAGCACGTTTAGGTGGCCCAGTACAATATCGTTGGATGTATCCATTTGAACGCTTCCTCAATCACTTAAAGTCCAAAATGAAAAATAAGAGATACGTTGAAGGTTCAATTGCTGATGCATATATGCTTGAAGAGGCAACACACTTTGCATCATTTTATTTTGATGATGATGTGCAGAGTAGAAGAACAAGGATAGGTCGGAACCTAAATGATGGAGGCATTGATCATAACTTGCCAGTTACTTTGTCGATATTTAATCGACCAGGTCGATCGATGGGTAAGAAAAAGACAAGATATTTGAGTGCAGAAGAACGTTTCGTCGCTCATCAATATGTGTTACTGAATTGTGAGGAGGTTCAACCGATTTTAAGGTATGTTTACTCAACTTTTTCCCATTTTGGTTTCAAATGTGTATATATCTAATATCACTATTGTAGGATGTATGAAAATGGTTTACGACGTCTTAATCCTGGTTGTACTGATGAAGACGTAGACGAGGAAGTTGAAAGAAATTTTGCACATTGGTTTAAAGAATATGTAAGAAGTTAATGCATTTTGTCATTCTTGATTCTTTATTATCTAAAACTGATACATGTATTATAGTCGAGGGACTAATACCTAATTTGTTATATGACGTTTTCTTTATATTTATTATTAGGTATATTGCTCAACAAACAATGTGTGTAACCAATCACTCATTGATTTGGCATCTGGGCCGATAATGGAGGTTAACACATACACTGGGTATGTCGTTAATGGTTTCAAGTTTCAGACTGAAGAATATTGTCGTAGAAAGTCGACTTCTAACTACGGAGTGTCAATCAAGGGAACAAGTTTAGCACAATTTGAATCAAATTTTTTTGGGACATTGCAAGAAATTGTTGAGGTTGAGTACCCCAATGTTCCAATAAAAAAAGTTGTTCTCTTCAAGTGTGAGTGGTTTGACCCAACACCCAATATTGGGTCAATATTCAATTCAGAATATGGTATCGCTGAGGTGCACTGCAATAAACGATATAGGAAGTATGATCCTTTTATCATTGCACAAAGCGCATGTCAGGTGTGTTATATTCCATACCCACGAGGTATCCGGGAGAAAATGAATTGGTGGGTAGTGTTGAATGTATGCCCTAGAGGAACAATCGACAGTGCCTATAGCTCTAGTTATACATATCAACAAGATAACATACTGTTGCCTACATATGGGGGTGATCAAAGTATTCAAGATGACGTGCAAGAGTTAGTGCACGAACCATTACAGATGAATGAAGTGGAATTACCTCACATCGGAAATCAATGGTCTGACCAAGGTGTCCAAACTGAAGATTCAGAAGAAGAAGATTCAGAAGAAATTGAAGAAGAGGACAATGATGATTTTGTAGAAGATGATAGTGGAGATATTGATGATGAAGATGATAATGAGGAATCCGAGAATGATGAGGGTGAGTTTTAATTTAGACTTGAAATTTAAATGATTTTAATGTTTATTTTAATTAGTGTTTAAGAATGATTTTAATTTTTTTTGATTTTGAAATAAGAATGATTTTAATTAATGTTAAAAAAAATTATGCCAAATATAACCCCAAAATAATGGCGCCATTCTGAAATAATTCACTAACCACATTGACTACAATATCTCCCTCCACTATTTTTAACCTCACTTATCACTTCTCACTCCCTCACCTTCTCACTCCCTCGCCTTCTCACTCCCTCGCCCTAATCTTTCACGTCTCCGGCAACACCGACAGCAACCAGCAACCAGCAATGGCAGTAACCATCAACCAGCAACGTCAGCAACCGCCCTAATCCTCCCTTGCCCTAATCTTTCAAATCCCTAATCTCTCATTCTGAAATTTCGCCCAGGCACTCCCTAATCCTTCAATATTTGAGTATCAAATTTAGGTTTTTTTTTTGTTTTTTTTTTTTGTTTTTTTTGTTTTTTGTTTAGGATTCTGAAATATTGTGTTTCTTGTTTGCATCCAAAGGAAGAGGAGGTCGATTAAATCCAGAGAAAGAGGAGGTCCCTAATTTGTTTTGCTGGCAGGAAGAGGAGGTCGACTAAATGCAGGTCAGTCCCTAATCTGAAATGGATTTGTTTTTTTATGTTTAGAACTTCTTTAGTGAACTTCAAGAAGGAAGGGCTAGAGAAACTGAAGCCTAAGCTGAAATCTTCTATTGAGAAGGGAATCCAGTTTGCCAACCAGAATTAAGAAATTCTCCCCTTTTGCCATTGAGTGATTCACAAATTTGAATAATAATTTCGAGCAAATGTTGTCTACTCGGATTTTAGAGACTGCCAGTTTCTTAGATTTAGCTGTTTAAAATTGAAGCAGTATCTATCTTTAATTATTGGTGAAATAATTGAACTTTATCTTTTGTGATAATGAAATCTAAAGTTTTAAAATTTGGAAGTAGTATCTAAATAACATTTTTTGCTTCCAAAAAAAAAAAAAATCTAAAGAACATTTTTCATTCCAAAAGACTAGTTCAATAGGTTGAATAATCACTCAAGATTAAGTTCCACTTCACGGCACAATTTCTCCTGGAGTTGAGTGAGATCATATCAAAAGAGGTAAGGTTGATTTGAAAATAGTTTATGTTGGTCCTCAGGTTGAGGACTTAACCAATTCAATGAATTTTTGAAACATTTAGATGCCTTATGAGTTATGACTATATAGTACTGATTGAGTATCTACTTGTCTCTTTCCCTATTGTCTCAGTAGAGTAGATACTGGGAGATGACATGTCACTCATCTGAAATGGATTTGTTTTTTATGCTATTTTTATGTTGTTTAATTTTATGTTGTTTTCTGAATGCCATTAATCCAATTTAATGTTTAGAACTTCTTTAGTGAACTTTAAGAACCTCTTTTACTTCTAAGGGTTTGTGTGTGTATATATATATATATATATATATATATATATATATATATATATATATATATATATATATATATATGTTGTTACTCTCACTAGACTATATAGCCATAAGGCATCTAAATTCCTTAAGTAAAAGGTATATATACATATATATATATATATATATATATATATATATATATATATATATATATATACCTTTTACTTAAGGAATTTAGATGCCTTATGGCTATATAGTCTAGTGAGAGTAACAACAAAAGAATATATGGAGAAATGGTTAGATAAGGTTTGGTTTGGAACTGCAAATCCATTGAACTCACTAACCTTGACTGGCTTGTCTCCAATAATCCTGAGCTCAGTAATTGAGTCTCCCTCACATGCTGTCAAAGACATGAAACATGTACTCTGCAACATGTCTTTTGCACTGGAATGAATGCAAGAGCAATCTGGGATTATTTTGCTAAGTCCCTAGGGCTTAATATTCAGATTAGTCTCCCTCACATGCAAAGCTCATATAAATCTAATTTTTTGAATAATAAAACATAAACTGATTATTCAACTTGACAATAAAAATTAAGGAATATATCAAATATTAAATATGCAACCACATTACTATTATGATTTGAATACTTTGCTCATTTTAGAACATAGAATAGTCTTTGGCTAACAATATTTTACCATGCAGATTAACTTCATTAGCAAAACAATTAAAATAAATAAAAGATGAAACTATGCATTGCACAAGTAAGAACTGTGTATATTTCTTAGTTTAATAGCTACATAACAAGTGTTCCATGTACCTTCACCTGCCTTTGATTGTTTTCTAGCTCATCCCTATGGTCCTTTGATTGTTTTCTAGCTCATCCCTATGGTTATTGAGGACTTCAGATGCTTTATATATGTACATCCAGAGGAAACTAACAATTTAGTTTCTTGCAAATGATGACAGTAGAGTCTGATGCATTTTTAGAAACATCTCTATACATTTGTTTCCATACACATTGTAAAATATGTTATATGAATCTCTTTTCACCTATTTCATACTGTTTGGAGTGGGTTTGATCCTTTGGTTTGTCTCATGTGGGCTTCTAGCTTTCTCTTGGGCATTATCTACCATTTTTTGAACTGTTAGATTGAATTTCTTGTACTGTATTTTTCTTTGTTTGCAATGATGTTAACAATTAAAAATGCAGGTAAATGAACTGTTAGATTGAATTTCTTGTACTGTATTTTTCTTTGTTTGCAATGATGTTAACAATTAAAAATGCAGGTAAATGATCAAGTTGAGTTTGATGAGCAGGGATAAAAGTCTAGCAATATAGTATATTAATTTTAAAAACATGAATGCTTCTTGTATTACTTACTTCTCCGTTTTATTTGGCTTAACTTGCTGCTACTTGATTACTTGTGGCATTCTTAGCTTTCCCTTTCTTAATTTAGTTGATCACAGTCTTACAGCAGCAACTGAAATCAAAAGAGAAATGAATTAATGGTTACATTTATGCAGAAAATGTCTCGACGTCAAAAGAGTAAATCGTTGATGTCCCAACCAGCAGTATCTAATTATGAACG